AAATGTATGCGGCTGGCCAGCATTTTTTGTTTTCCCCATGAAGAGCAATTATCTCGCCCAGCACTCTCACTTTTCTCCGTCTGGATGTTGTCGGGCCTCGACGAGGAAAGCTGGCTTCAAATATTCCTCGGGACAACAGAAAGTCGCCCTGTGCGGAGTCGTGTGATCTTGTTGAATTTAGTCTTCCCTCGGGGGGCGCTTAGGACAAGCGGCAAATGTGTCATCGTCACGTCAGCATCTTGCTGGCACGCAGCAAATTGGTGCAAGTGCCGGTTGGTCTTGAAAGCGCTCAACTATTTCTATGTCGTGGCGTTGAATGATTGTTCAAGTGGGTGGAAGCTGACGATCGCCCGCCGAATCTCAACCTGATTTATTCCAGGTGACAATTATGTGCGGCTTGATTGACAAATACTCATTTTGTCCGCGCGTGTGTGTTTCTCAGTTGTGAGCTCGGCGGGCCGCGCGCTGCACCTGGCAACCTTGGCGCAGGAGGCCGAGCAGCGCGTTTCGGAGCTGCGGAGCCAAGTGCGCGGCGCGGGGCCCGGAGAGCTGGAGGCCGCGGAGCGGGAGCGGGAACGGCAGCTCAAGGCCTGGGAGTGGCGGTTGCGGCTCTTCCGACGCATGCTGACGGGCTTCCGGCACGCGAGTAAGGACGCCGACCGGGGGCCCCCTTTTCATTTTCCCAGCCTCTTTTCCCCGCTGCTATTTTGTTCGGGCCAACTTCATGACTTCCGCGCTAGGATGCCGAGTACGTGTCACTCGATGACACATTTTGTGGCTGGGGAGACAGCCACCCCGCACAAACAGACACTCGCACGAGCCCCGAAAGCCAATTTGCACTTTGATGAGAGAGTGAGAGTGATTATCCCCCCACCCCCTGGCCACCCACTTTATCATTCCCCACCCACTCATTTGATTTGATCTGTTTTGTGCACAAGGAAAAAGACAAAACAAAACAAATCCTTCTCAGAATGCCCAAATGATGCTGATGCGATCTCGTTGCCAATGATCTCCGCCCGTTTGACTGCTGAGCGGCTGTCATCGCAATCGTGACAGTCGATTGCTGCAATGATGTCATGAAAGCGATTCGCCGCCGCGCTGCGCAAGATGCAGAAGATCTGGATGGGCGGTCTGGCCGACTTGTTTTTTGGGTCTCCCCACTTAGAGCTTCCGGACACTCCCGGCGCGGCGCGCCTGTCTGTCGGCGGCAGCAGCAGTCTAACGCTGGATTTCCAGGAACCCCGATGCGTCGACTCGGCCGTGGTGACCAAATACAAAGGTCAGGCGCCGTGCCGCTTTTGCGATACGCCGGCCCCCCGTGCGACAAGACGGCCAGCGTTTTTTTGACCGATGCCTTCCCTGCCCCGTTGCGGACGTGTGTTTTTGTTCTGTGTTTGCAGTGAGCTGGAGCACCACGCCGTCCTTCAGCTCCGTGCTGGGCGAGGCGGTGCTGGAGGACACCGCCGCGTTGCGCTACGACATCACCGGACTCACCTCTGTGAGTTGCGCTCGACATTCTCCACCGAGAACAAACCCAAACTCTGTTTTCACCATGACAAAAGGAAGGACAATTGTTTCGCTCTCTGGCACGGTACGATGACAGAAGTGAAAGTGAAGCGCGTACTTGCGATGGCACGTTGCAAGTCCCGAGCTTGCAATCGGTCAGGTCACGTGACGCCACCCCGACGTCTCTGCCGAATCCTCCCTGAGTCCTTGCCCAACGGTTGGCTGAAAACTGAAAGTATAGGATTGGTTATGTGGCTCCCAAAAAAAGGAAAAATCACTGAAATCTTTGAACCCCCCCCAGCAATTTAGGGCCAGTGTCCCACATTATTTAAACACAAACATCTCCAAAGTCCATGAGATCAAACGGCCCGCTGAAGTCGCCACCGCTCCAACCATTCAACCCAAGACTTATGACCTGGCACCCAAAACAAAACAAAAAAAAAACACCCCACACAAGCACACGATTGGGGAAAGGCCAGTTTGTGAGCACCGCGGACGGCTTGGGAGCATTGAGAAGCAACAGTTGCCAACCTGCCACCAACAGGCTAAAAAGAGCGGCTTAGTCGACTGCCGTCTGATTTACGTCCGGGCCCATGTGGACTCACGGACGGTCCCGGCGGCCGTTTGTTTGTGGGAGAGCCAGAGAGAGAGAGACCATTCTTTCTCCTCCCGAGAACCCCGCCGCCAGCCCCCGAAACTCATTCACTGCTGTCACATGACAGGGGTCAAGGCGAGGTCAGGAAGCGGCGGCGGCGGCTCGGTCATTTGGTCTGGCTGAGAAAGGGAAGGACGCGGGCTTGATGTTGGCAGAGGCTCCTCATCAGGAAGGATTCTCCCTTTGACAAAAAAAAGTCAATGCTGTTTCAGCAGACAACGCCAACATACAGTACTCACTGTGACTTTTTCAAGAACAACATTGATCCTTTCTCTTCATTGAATTGATAACAGAAGAAAAACCTTCATTTGTCTCACAACGGAGAAATTCCAAATTTACAGCAGCAAAATTAGGAAAGGGAGAAAGTAGAAGACAAAAAATATGAAATAAATATCATTTTGGTGTGTGTGTGTGTGTGTGTGTGTGTATATATATATATACACACACACACACATAAGCATTTGTACAGAGCTGCAAATCTGAAAGGAGAAGTTGCCAAGCAGCGTTTTGTGTGTGCGTGCACCTGCAATATATGGCTTGAGTAACTGGTGCGCTGTCCTTTCAGGGGACCCGCTACTTCGTCCGAGTGTCAGCGTACAACATGAAGGGCTGGGGACCAGCACTGGCTTCCACGCCCGCCTCCGCCGCTCCTTCCAGTAAGTCTCCATTTGACCCATCGTGACACAATCTTGCGCTTCCACTCGGTCCGGGCAGTTGGGATGTTTATTGGCGTGATGCGAGGACAGGTACCAATTCTTGCTTGGCTCCAATGTTCTCCATTTCTTTTTTCTGTTGACTTTTCACTTGCGCTCGAGACGGTAGCTCGACTTTCTATTTCGTCGAAAGAGGCTCTTTTTGTTGGCTTTCTTTGGAGAAGCAAGAATAGTTGAAGGTTGTACTCCACCAAAATGATTCGTGGCCAACTGTAAAAAACAGCCACCTGCGGTGTTCCAAAATTCTTTGTCGAATCTGAAAAAAATTTGTGTCACGTGTCATTTTCAACATTAGCGAAGGGAGGAAGATCTTGCAGCTAGCTAGCTTGCTCACTTGCTCTCAGACATGTGATTTTTTTTGGGGGGTGGGTGGATTTTTATTCTTCCATTTCTGCCCCCTCTGACGTGTACACGCAT